AGGACCATTATTCGTGTTGGAAGAAATTAGATAAAAATGATTGCTTAGGTCCACCTCGACCCCGCCGAGGTGAACCGAGTTTGCCCCTAAAAAGATGAAGTATAGGCACCAAAGTTCGACCTGATTGTGGTCCGACCTGCTCGGAACCCGACAGGTCCAATATGAGAAAAGACATGTAACCGCCGGTCGTGCGTGCTGTCGGGCCCATTACCTATAAATAGAGGAGTACATTTCGCGCTCAGGTATCGAATCTGACCTCGAACTAAATAAGGAGTCCGATCTATACTGACTTGAGCGTCAGAGTGTTTACCCTCTTGTGCAGGTCCACTCTAGTGTTCAGGTCAGAACCGGAGACCGTGTTCGAGCTCGATTCGTGAAGAACCGTTGTGCATATTCCTGCATAAACAACTTACCTCAACACAAGTTTTACGTCAACCTCTCCTAAATCTTTCATTTTAAAATATGAGGATAAAGGCAACTTGATATTATTACTGACATCTAAATTTAAGCAATATAAGCATGTCATCAACATATAAACATGTAATCACATAATCATCTACAAACATTTTTAAAGTAAATACATGTATCGTACGTATCATGGAAGTTCACTTCCTTATTCTCTTGGTGTAAAGTCTATCAAGTCCCACTTTATCTATAAGATACATTCAAGTATATTTAAAATCTATCTTATTTCAGTTTTCAACCAAGGAGGTGGTTAAGGAAATTAACCTTTACATTATCATAACATGGTTAAGGAAATTAAACTTTACATGATCATAACATCTCAAATTAATTATTCTACCAATAATTAATTTAATTTCATACAATCATGTTAATAAATTTCATCAAGAAATATTTTACATACTTTGCTAATTAATTTATGTAGCAACATTACATCATACATAAACATGAGTAATTAGCCAATCATATAAATTTCATGATTTCCACCTTCAATAATACTCATGGTTTATAATACCAAATAACTTCAAAAAGGAAATAAATTTAGCAACCATTATGCTCTATGTAATGAAACATTTATTCATTTGAAGATCATAGACGTGCCCATAGTAAAATATTTATGACGAATAATTTTTATTTTTAATAAAACTATATATTCAACTATATTCAAGTAAGATCTTAAACCACCGCTAAGAAAGATCTTAATATTTCCATCATTAATTTTTACGAGCATCACATATATTTGAGATTTTTACATTCTATTTCCAACAGTTATACGAAAGAAATTATAGTCCAAACTAAATTAATATAAATAAAATTATTTTCTTTATAATGCGTAATTCATGGCCAATTAAAAATCTCAATAGCTGCACTAATTTAATAATTTAAAATATGAAAACGAACTTAAATTACTTAAATTGAGATACTCCAATACCTTGTAAATTGGAGTATAAGATAACAATTTTAACACTTATTTCAATTATCACAAATAATCATAAATTACACAAATAAGGTAACATTAAAATACCTCGTTTTAGCTCATGCATAAAACACAATAATTTCCAATTAATATTGACAAAATTTAAATCCCTGTATGGTACTTGAAAGATTTAAAAACTTTTACGCTCATAATATAGGAAACTCAGCCTATTTAGATAATATTGCAACCTAAATAATATTTCAAAAATATTTCAAAATCTTGTATAATAGATAATATGAAATAATCTATTTAGCTTTCCTTTGTCTTTTCTTCGTCATTCAAATTTTTTTCTGGTGGCCTACCCCACAATTGTCGTCTTTTGCACACAATCTATCTCCGACAATAATGCCAAAAGAATTTATAAAACATACAAAATAGAGATTATTAATCACACAAGGAAAAACCTCACTCAATTAAACTAGAAAAAATGTTAAAAGATATGGTCTGGTTAATGTGTGGTTCACTATCTGGTCTGATTCAGCTAGTTCATGGTTTTTTCTTTTAAATAAATCTCTCTCCTTTGAAACCTTTTTTTCTCTCATCATCTTCTCTCCAATCTCATCTTCTCCTTCTTTTTCCTCCATACCAGCCAACGCAGGTGCCACCCTTCTTCTTTTTTTTTTTTCCTTTCTTTTCCACTACTACAAAATTGGTCTGTAATGTCAGTTGTCAACTGACATCATATATATTAGATGTCGGTTCTCGAACCGACATTTACCTGGGTGTCATCGTACCGTACAATGTCGTTTCCCAAATAATGTCGGTTGTAAACTGACATCAAATAAACCGACATTGTATGTGTTCGATGTCAGCTATTTGTCGGTTACCAACCGACATTAACCCTGGTGCCATTGTAGCCTATGATGTTTGTTGGTTTGTAATGTCAGTTTTAAAATGACATTGATTGTCCATATGATGTCAGTTAATAACCGACATCGATAGAACTGACATCGTTCCTCTATAACTGACATTGTTTACATTCAATACTAATACATAATTACAATGTTAGTTGGCTACAATGTCCGTTCTAAACTGACATTGTTTTATAAAAAGCCTGAAACAAAAATATTAATAAAATATGAGGCAACTTGAGATATGGTAAAAAAAAGTTAGGAAAATAAGCAAAATAGCAACAAGGATTGGGGTTTTCAAATATAGCATTTTTTTTTTTTGCAAAAAAACGGAGGCCCACGTTTTAAATTACAAGTATACCCTACAGGTCCAAACCAACAATAAATTACTTTTGATTGACTTCTGATATACTAATGATTGACATATATACTCTTGATATATATATGATATATGTTTGATATATATATGATATAAAATTGATTTACTTCTTATATAACTATGATATCTACTACTATACGTGATATAGAATTGATTGATTTCTGATATATTATTGATTTAATTTACTTATGATATAACTATGATTGACAGATATACTCCTGATATATATGTGATATATGTTTGATATACATATGATATAAAATTGATTTACTTCTGATATAACTATGATATCTACTACTATAGGTGATATAGAACTGATTAACTTCTGATATACTATTGATTTACTTCTGATATAAATATGATTGACAAATATACTCCTAATATTTAGGTGATATATGTTTGATATATATATAATATGAAATTGAGTTACTTCTAATATAACTATGATATCTACCAATTATTTCGAACATATTACCTCTAATATGTTTTTGATATACTACTAATATATGAAATAAATTTTTTTTTTCAAATAAAAGCAATGGTACAAACACGAAAAATGAAATAAAAAAACATCGTCGAAAATGTTGATGTCGTTCGTCCTAAAAGAAAACATAAACCAACGACAAAAATGTTGTCTATGGAAAAACGGAAAGATTCAAAGATATCATCTTCGAAGACACCAAATCCTTAAAGTTCTCAAAAATCATATTTTCATCAACCAAAATCCCCGTAGTTTTGTAATTGATATAATAGTGATTATTATCCCATCACCACTACAAATACTACAAGAATATAAAACATTGGTGATATTAATTAGTATATCAATCAACAACTAATATAGAATAAAATAGAGATGATAAACTATAATTTAAACAACTAATATACCACTCAAAATTAAAAGAAATCAATGTACTACTAAAATTAAAAAAACCTGACATACTTAATTTAAGCAGCTGATACATTATATATTGATTATATCACTTACTAATATATCCTATATATCCTATATCAGTTATATATATATCTAATATAGAATATATATAAATGTGATATACCTCACTGCTCTATACTTCATTCAATATATCACTAATTAATATCACTAACATAGAATAAGTGAATATATATGAGCAATAAATATCACAGATATCAATTCATACCAAAATCCTAAAAACTAATCGATAACTAAAAAACCCAAACAATTACCAATTCATGGATCATTGAATATTACAATTTCTCTCTTAAATCTCTATCGATTCCTCTGTTAAATATCTAACAATTTCATCACATCAAAAATCTAGTAAAACTCAACATAAATTGGTTCAAAATTGAAGAAAATATTGAACTGTGAATAAAATCGAAGCTAAATCTGAAACTGATCAACATGCAATTTGAAGCTAAGAATAATAAATCCGAAACTGAAGCTAAAATCAAAGATAAAGAAAATCAAACAAAGAAGTTTCAGTTGAATCTGAAGCAAAAGTAAAATAAAGAAAAAGAAGAAGAACTACCTGAACGAAGAACGAAGAAAGAAGAACGAAGATGAAGAGTTGTGCGAAGAACGAAAATTGAACGAAATCGAAAATCAGACGAAGAACGAAGAACGAAATTGAACAAAGATGAAGACCTTCAGTGGTTTTTTGTGCTTCGGAGAACATATCAACATCAAAATCGAACGAAGAAGAAAAATAAATTGGGGAAGTTTATGCAAGAGATTTGGGAAGGGTAATTTGGGAATACTGAGATTTGAAAATCAAAATTTTCAAAAAAAAAAAATGCTATATCTGAAAATGTGAAAAAGGCATGTCATTTTGTTAAATATAGAAAAATAATATGCTACCTGACAAATCCCCATACAATATTGTATATACCATAATACCTAAAAAACCTATATCAAAATATTTTCAGCAAAAAAATCATACAAAATAATTAATAGTTTCCTTGATCCACCAGAACACACCACCAACACAGTTATCAGCACACCGTAAACACAATTATTATAAATTCTAATTCACGTCCTCAATAGAATTCAGCAATTCAGCAACCATAACATATGCCAATCCTTCTATAATATCTAATTCATTAAGTAAGCAATATTAAGAAGTGTTAAATGAACAAACTGAGAAAAATGTTGAGTAGCTCACTAATACAACCAAGCGTAGTTCAATGTTTTACATATTAAATGCTAAAACTATATTTACTATCTAACCCAAACTAAGTGTAGTTCGCATCAAATCCGGCTCATTCATCCCGTACCTCATCAAGTTCAACTTGAGTAGACAACTTTTTTGAATTGAACTACATGTAAAAAAGTATAAATAATATAAGTATAATTCCAATATGAAAATTAAAGTTGTGTTTTCAGTGTGCATGGAAATACATACAATATTAGGTATTGGAGTGTCTGGATTAAATATTATCTGTCGATTGTACCTCATGACATAATATCCACACTTTACCGATCCTGATTGACGTGGGCACTATACATATATAAAAATGCTAAGTTTTAGAACTTATTAAAAAATAATAGCATAGAGTAGTATAGTTATACTTACCCGTACAGGAAGCCAAGTAGGATTCTTCCTACCTCGTGAACAGTATTCTGTGCCATAAACATTCTTAGAGCCCTAAATGTGTTTTAAAAAAAATAAGTTATCAATCCTACACATTAATGTATCAAACTAAAAATATAGATAATACTTACATATTCACAACATATTTAATGTCTTTCTTGATAGCAGAGTGCAAAGAATCTAAAAAGTAAATCATATTGTTTGGGGATAAAAATACCCTGGACACGTGGTGGACGCTCATTGGTGTTTAGGGATTAAGGGAAGCATCCCAGGTCCACCTCGAACCTGCTGATGAGACCGAGTCCGCCCATAAACAAGGCTAAGTGTAAAAGCCCAAGTTCGACCTGGACGGGTTCAATCTGCTCATACTCGACAAGTTCGACATAAAAAAAGACAAAGGCAACCGCCGGTCGTAAGCACTGTTGGACCCATCACCTATAAATAGAGGGCCTCATTTTATGCTCAGGTATCGAATCTCATCTCGAACTTAATATTGAGTCCGACCTACACTGACTTGAGCGTCGGAGAGTTTGCCCTCTTGTGCAGGTTCACTCGTGGGTTCAAGTCGAGCCGTGGACCGGGTTCGAGCTAAGCTCGTAAAATCCGCGTTGTGCAATTCCTTGCATAAATATTTGGCGTCGTCTGTGGGAAAGGACAATCTAAGTCATCCCGATCTAAAAAGCGTGAACAAAGATGGTTCAACCAGCAAACTCAACCAACACAGAAGACCGAAGAGCTCTGGCTGCCAACGATGGTTACCAGAAGGAGGTCGGGGCAGTAGTGGTAGAGGGCCAGATTCCTGAAGGCCTTGGGACCGAGCCGCTCCGTAGGTCGGCAC